TGACCGTTGCCTCAGGGTGTTTTTGGGTCCAAAGAACAAACATTACATGTTCGGTACAAGGACTGGCCTCGAAAAAAGTAAAAAAGGTAACCAATCACTCAAGAGAGGCTTTCAAAGGCCTTCAAAAAGCCTGTAAAACTATCAGTCAGGACAACTTTAAAAGAATACAAGAAAATGTGAATCCATAAAAGCGACATGCATTATACAAAATGTATTTATTGTTTCAAATATTTTTTGTTCTAAATTAATGGCAACATTTATTCTAACATTTTCCAATCGAAAAAGACTCGGTTGCGATCTACATGAAATGCCACATCATGGGTGGTCGACTATCGACTTACATAGCCAAGTGACCTTAAATATTGTCGGGTCAGGGAAGGGGCGTGATCACCTTGAGTCGTCCAGCAACCATTACGATTAGTTCCGGGTGCTGGGGGTCAGCTTAGAGCTAAGAGAAGCCGAGGATAAAAAGCTCTGTCTGGGGAAGCTTGGCAAGGCCTGAAGGCCTCAGTGCCTGAGCCTCTGTGTGTGTGTGAAAGGGTAGGGTGGCTTGAGGTGTCAGAGTAGGAGGGGTGCCGGGGCAAGATTTATGTACACCAAGCCCCACGCTCATCCATTTCAGGCCTGTGCTACACACACACACACACACAGCTCCGAGCCAACAACACAGTGGCTCCCCTGAGTCCCGGCAATAAAGTCAGAAGTCTCTCCCCTCGGCACGCGTTCTCTGTGGAAAATCCATTGACTGGAAAACTACAACTGCCACGCCTCTATGATCTAAGGCTCTGAGGTTGCATGTGTGTGGTTTTAACGTATTATTTCTAAATTATTTATCTCCCGTATGTGTAACAAACCGGTCGTGTTTAAGTATCGGATATACAGACGTTGCAAGCATTGTGGCGAGGGGGAGAAGAAAATAGATCCACTTAAGAGAATGCAGTTATACATTTTGTTTTCAGCTCAAAGTGTTTTATTACCTGGCTTGTGCTTTAACTAACAAGTCTGACATAGCCCCCAGCTAATGCAACAAATGACGATGTTTCGCATAAAACCTGGCAGTCAGAGGAGCGAGGATGTTATTATGTGCTGCCGCCGGAACATAATAAATTGAGGTTGTCTTTTTCATCTCAGCAAAGCCATCTCGCCATAATGGTCTGTGTCTTCTCAATGTTTGTACATCACGCGTCCTATTCTGGAACCAGAGGCACTGAAGTGGATACAGTATCCCGTCAAGACACCAGCCTTAGAAAAATCTCCTCAGTTTCAAAGCGCCAACCAGTTTGTTTGTAGTCACAAGACGACAGCCTAATAAGGTAACAGTTACTCCAAAGAAAACTCACGAGTATCCCATTACGGATGTACATATATTCAATTCAGCCACATGGTCTTATCCTGCATAGCATTTCCATTAAACACACGGAGCAGCCATGCCTTGTAACCTGATACAGGGCCAAAGAAACAAAGGCAGCTCATGTATTCATGTACAGAGGATGGACGCATGCCAACATGAAAAGCTTACGGAGGAGAACACTGTGGTTTCTTTTTGTAAAAAAGGACAGCTTCCAGACAGCCAGAGTGGCAGTCGCCATGTCTGGCCTCGAGAAACCGATAAGGGGCGGTTTAACTGAAAACAAACTGAGATTGAATTAGACTAAGACATGACTGTTTGGGGTAAATACTCGACAAAAAATGTGAAGTGTTGAAACACTAGGTCAGTAGAAAAAAAAAGAGGTTTTTGAATATAAATCCAGCTGCGCTGTGTACTTCAAGTCCATTCAGCACAAGCATTTCAAGTTAAGCTGATGTTCCACCAATTGACTGTGGAATGTAGTGGTATGCCAAGTCAATGTTTTATTGCAATAAGGCCTACAGCACCGATCCACATATGAAAACCATTTTCGTGCGTCTAATTCGTGTACTCCAAATCCACAAGCCTCCATTGTACTTCAAATCTTCAAGTCTACCTAGAATTCTTTCCCCCAAAACTTCATCTATAATTTAAAAGGCTGACTAAATACTTGGTTTCCATTGTGTCAACATAAGTCGTAGAGTTGTGGCACTAAATACACGTTGCAGTCGTTTTGAGGCATCTTCTTTGTTCCTAAAATTATTATTTCAAAATTATGCAGATTGTATGTAATTTAAGACAATTAGGAAGTAAAAGCAAGGATGTGAGATAATGTCCCTGTTATTCATGTAAAGATACATTTCTTCACACACTCTTACTTTTTACATTTAAAACTTTTTTCATCTTCTAAAAACTAAAAAGTTCAAATGATAGAGAGACTGGAACTGGTAAGAAAATGGTGCGGAGCATTAAGACTTACAATAAAAAGAGGACTACTAATGATGATCAAATTTTATTTCTGTCACCAAAAATGTAGGTCTTGTCCAATCCAAAGCTCAGAAAACACTGGTATTATAACATTTTTTTTTTGTGAGGGGCCCAAGTTTACACAATTAAAACTGTGAACAGACTGTGTTTACATTATTTCTCTTTAATAAATTAAAACTTCTACGAGAAAAAAAGATAATCAGAGTGACAATCAAGTCAAATAATGAATATACTCTGGCTTGAGGGGGATATCAAGTTGCTTAATTATGAGAGGATAGGCAGTCCCAGCTGTTGTCCGAGAATTAGGTTTCAGACCTCACATTAATTCTCATTCTTGGATCTGATTAAAAAAAAGACAGTGCTTTGGAGTCCATTCTAGCATGGCACTCTGGCCTTGGCCCAACAAAAGCGAACACAAAGGCTCTGTTTTGTCCAGCATCTTTAATAGATGATCGTGATTCACTGTTATGCCTGAACACTGTGTGACTTTGCTAATCAATTAAATGTGTTTAGAGGGATATATCCACTTAATAAAATCCAAGACACATCGGTGAGGCTTTCATCCATCCAATTAATTCATGCCTCCATGATGTGATTACATTGCACTCTTTAAGAGAGTTTCTCCACTCTGCCTTTGAAGATCTCCTTGACTTCTGTTGTTGGGAATCTATTAATAAGCACTACTATGAAGCATGATGAGCATCTTCATTATGCAAAGCTGATGAAGTGAGACGACTGAGGGTGACTTGCAATGGAGGGTGCTCTGTCAAAAGCTTTCATGTAAAAAAAAAAGAAAAACACTCACTGGACTGACGTCCAGGAATAAAGTGGTACGAGGGCAACCCGGTATTGACGATCAGTCTTATAGAGTCTTGTTAGGTGGAGCAGTTGTGGGGAAGGTGTTGTATTTAAAATGAAAGACCAATCTTTATCGGCTGACAGTCGATACCACCTGACGAGTGAAGACTTTGCAAAGGAAACAGTGTAAGAAAAAATGGTGGAAAATGTCTAACATTTGCAAGCACATGAGTCATATGCCCCTGAGAAGTTTTTCAAAGCCTTTTATCTGCATCTTTCTAACAACCCACTGTGTCTGCAACCATGTGGCTCTGATTTGATTAGACGTTCGGGTACAGAGACCAATGCTATGATTTGGGGAAGATGGGGGGGGAGGCAGCGAGAACAGGTCAGGGCTCGTAAATCCCTTTTCCTTTTCATTGTAAAAATCAGTTTCCCCGCAGAGCGATCTCTCCCAGAGGGCTCGAACCAGCTGGCTCTCGACCA